CCCCAAAACCCCAAAACCCCAAAACCCCAAAACCCCAAAACCCCAAAACCCCAAATTATTTTAAAATAATAGAAAATATCTCAAATGAACTTTCAGAGATTTTTGAGAAAGTGAGTATAATGTCTGTGTGAGCATTTAGGTCCCAGTCACAGATTGAGAAGCAAATATTCTTCAATCATCGGTCAGGAGGGATCTTTTACCCTCGGAATTATAAGAAACGGCAGATTCTGAGAAGCTTTAAACGCAGTAATGGTGTAAATTATAAGGCAAGCTTTACATGTTATTCCTTATAGGCGAACTATATGCATGGGTTGTACTATATCGAACGAAGAACTCTCGGACAAAAAATTGTAGACTTTGTAATCCGCTCTACAGTGAGACATACCAATATTTTCGCATATATGGAGACAATTTTTCCTAAAAGATGGATTCCTCAGGTACAAATGCTTAAAAGGAATAAGATTAGGATTATAAGAAGGTGGCCAGATTTAGGTTTGGGTAATATATTCAACCCTAAAAGCACTCGACATGGCCTAAATCCTTCTGCATCTACAAATTCTGGTTATTTTGGCGCTAGTTATTCAAAAATTATTTCTCAAAAGCTATAGCCCACCTGGCTCCTTTTAGAAGACCAGTCTGGAACTATCTTTTCCTTGCGAGTATCCTGATGTACCTAAATACTAGGAGGCGTATAAATATTAGAAGAGGATGCCCTAAATGTAAGAAGACCAATGAAGAAGATCCTAGCCAGCTCTCCTGAGCCTCTCACAGTAGTGTATTCGAGCAGGAGATTTACAACGCTTATCTTGAGAAAAAGCATGATCTTCAGAAGAAGGCACTGGACGAATTAGTGAAATACCTGGCTAACTCCAAGGTCATCAAGGTTAAAGGCGATTCTGAAGAGCTAGACATTAAGATTCATGAAGAAGTTGCTCAAAAAGTTGCAGATAAATTAACCACTCTGGTTGAGATTCCCCGAATTAAGAAATTAATGGTAGAAATCTTCCTAAAAATGCTATATGACGATGGATTCAACCGCATCACACATGAGTTGACTACTAAGATTATTGATGAGTATCTCCAGAGCGAGCACTGCCTCAGAATGTCCACTGATTTAGTAGCCAATGAGGTCCTAGCTAATGAAGAAGTCAGAGAAAATCTATTCCAGCTCTTGGAAAACTTCTTATTAAGGCAAGATGTAAGAGAAGGTAAGCGAAAAGGATTTTAATGGTATAGACGGTGTTAACCAAGAAATGCTCCAGAAAGCAGAAGATATATTCCACTCAGTCCTCAAACAGCCTGGTGTAAGAAAGTATGTCAAAGATAACCTTCACGAGCAACTTCAGAATGCAATGGAGAATGAAGGAGTGATTAACCAAGGAATTAATGCTGCAGCTAATTCTCTAAAATAAGAATTATCAACCACCCGATTTGTACTTGGGGTTTTGGGGTTTTGGGGTTTTGGGGTTTTGGGG